TTGTGTTCAGGAGATAGAGACTTTTTAGAAGACGGCAATTCTTCCAGTGACCAAAACTTTTGTAATGTGTTGTCGATGTGTATCACTGACTCTTCTCGACAACTCAAACAATTCCTCGCTTCTTGGGTGGCAGTCACCTTTGGAGTGTATCTGCCCGACACAATCCAGCCGAGAAGCGTTTTCTGCAGGATTGGATAGTCAGGACCTTGTCTAATTTGACCAACAGATAAAAGTTCGAAAAATGTTTCTGCACCTATCAACATATCTATATTCTGTGGCTTAAAGAAATATGGGTCTGCAAGTGGTAAGTTCTTCGGGATTTTCCAGTCACCCACGTTAAGTGTTTGATCAGGGTGATACACCGAAATGGACCTTAAAATCCAGAAATCGACCGAAAACTCACTACCAGTAATTCGCGACTTCACCACCGTGTGTATCTTTTTGTTGACTTGTGAATTGGATTCACCAATACCAAGCAAGTTGATACACGACTCCTCCCAACGGATCTGTAAGCGCTGTGCTAAGTCCTCAGTTATAAAATTGGTTTGAGACCCCGAGTCAAGCAGAGCTCGGGCCAAAACATGTTCACCATTATTTGTTCGGACGCTTACGATCGACGTAGCCAGAATAACTCTATCCATAGCTGTCGCATGGAGAGCATACGTGGAAGGTTGATTCTGATTGGGAGGAGGAGAAAAATTCCCGGGGGGTGATGGTAACGCCACACTTTTATTCGCCATTGTGTACCTATGCAATAAATTATGGTGTGAGCAGCCACACACTCGACACTTCTTAGCTTTGCATCGTACTACAGAGTGGCCTTGTTGCAGACAATTGATGCACAGGGATGCAGTTTTTGGAAATTCGAACCTTTGCATTACTGCCAGCCGACCAAATGGACTGCAATCTGTCAACAAATGGTCTTTCGCATTGCAGTAGCTGCATTGTTGGTTTTTGGTATTCGCGGTAGAACACGCGAATGAGCTCCAATTATGCGGCTTGCTTGGCACAGCTTTCTGCTCCTGCTTTGGTTTGTCCGAATTTTCGGCCGAAAGATGCTGATGTCTGCGAATAAGCAACTTTTCACAGTCATCCCAAAGTGGCAGCTTCTCATAATCGAGCTGTTCTTCCCATTTCTCTTTGGTCACCGGATCGACTCTGCTCAAGACGAGATGAATAATCATCGCATTCGAGATCTTTTTATCATCGCCTATCGACATGAACCATATATGGATGAGGCGGTATCGATAAGGTTCCTTAAGGACGATGTTGATTGCTGGGTCATTTTGGGAAGACTAAATAGGGCATCAATGTGATTTTTAAAGATCAGACAATCATTATCGTAGACCCGTTTTAAGCTAGCCATTGCTTTCTCATAGTTGGTCTCGGTTACTTGGAAAGCCCTAACTGTTCCCAACGCTTCACCAGAGAGATAATTGGAATGCTTTCGTCATTGTGAACCAGAGTCTCAAATAAACCTATGAAGTTTTTAAAGTCCGAAAAGTTGCCGCTGAACTGCGGCAGTGCTAACTTCGGAAGGCGAGCACGAGTTGGGCCACCATAAGCTGGTACTGCAGGTTTTGTCTCATCAGCTGTCTTCAAGGCGCAAATGAGAGACATTAATTTTGCCTTTGTGACAATTGAGAGTTCTTCCAACTCGGCTCCAAATTCATCGTCAATGTCTACATCTTCAATCTTCTCTTGAAGTTCGCGTGCCGTGTCAATGCTACGCATCAGCGTTTCGAGTCTGCACTCGAGCTCCGTCAATACCAGCGGAATATCCTCCGCTTCTTAACGGTCCGCTAATGCCTTAGACACAGCAACTGCGCTTTTTCTTCAGATCTTCAAGGACGATATTGTTGGCTATGGAGGTCATATTGATTCTCAATACAAGCAACTAAAGGCGAAAAGTCGTTTCTAATAATCGTATTCAATGCCGAGGCACTCAATGAAATAATGAGTAATTGTACCCAAACTAGGTAAAAACCCAATATACCCGACAAATTTAGGGTATTGCGTCACTTAGCTCAAGTACTTACGTATCTAGTTCGTGGTTGTATCCAACGAGGTGAAAATCAATATACTCGACCAATTTAGAGTAGAGCGTCGCTTGGCTGTCGCGTAAACGAAAACCACACAAGAATAGCAACAAACAGCAATGGTGACAAGCGAAAACGAAAAAATTTACCGCTGTAGTTCTGAAGAATGGACGTTGTTTATAAATTGATTTGCGAAGCACGACTTTGTCTTAATTGATAGTTGGATCCTACTGACACCAAACGAATATACCCGACGACAACAGGGTAGCGCGTCACTTGGTGTTTGTTTGGATCAAGCGCACCAAACAAAAAGAACAGCGATAAGCAACGGTAATGAGCGAAACGAAAAATTCACCGCTGCAGCTGCGTATTAGTATGCGTGCTTGGCCAATGACCCAACTACATATATATTTTACACAACGAAAACGAGAAAGGGGAAGGGGTGACAGCGATTGCAGTTAATTGAGTTATATGTGTTGCGTCCAAGATGGTTAGGGGTATATATATATGTATTAATATATATGCTCAACTCTAACTACTCTAACTCTAGCTCTACTATGTCATACGTATGTGCCAAGAATTGAAGACAATAATTGCGAGTTTTTTAATCTTTGCGTCTTCACTCGAGCTTTCAATTTTTTGCACAGATACCTCTTTATAAGATCGGAAATTCCAGGTGCTGTACTTCTCTCTTCTGGCGCTGGATGCTCTCACTTGGCTCTGCTGTGGTATATGTAGCTGCAGACGGGGTATTGCACGACCGACGCGGTGATTTTCAGTTTCTTTGCTGTTTTCTAGTCTTTCTGGCTGACTAGCGGGATCCTCCGCTGAGCGTTGCCGCTTGTTGGGGGCCTTGGCTGCGCCCTTTCCGGCTTTGGCTGGCTGGAAGTCTAGCAGGATTGAGGCGGCCCACAGACTCTTCTCAATTCCTTCCCCTGACGCCCTGCAGCTAGGGCCTTCGTTGCCAGGATGAAAGTCGTTCATCTCCTGTCCTGGTACGACGGCTAACTTCCACGCTTCATACAATTCTGGCACATGGTCACATTGTAATTGAAGGTTAGAGCCTACCAATTAGAGATATGTCAGAGGAAGCCCAGGAAGCGAGAAACAAAGATTATAAAAAAAAAAAACAGGAATCTGAAACGTGCAAGACAACACGAATTTAGCAAAACCAAGAAATTTTCAACATGTTGGCAGCCTCTTCAGATCCATATATTTCATCCATTTCATATGTGAGATCACAAAATAAATCATTAAGCAGTTGTTCTTTAGAAATTATACGTTTATTAGATATTCCTCCCAGTAAACAGGAAATGGAGTAATACTTAAAATTACTTTGCAGAAAAATTTTTTTTTAATTAGAGCAAGTTGAAAATTAAATCAAAAAAAAATGTATGGAAAAATATGCACCGGCAACAAAGTTAAACATTACCCCGTTATTGTTCTTTAAAATGCAGTTTATTTCATGAAGATATCTTTAGTTGCTCAGAAGTTATTAATTTAGCAAGCTGAAACGGCGGAATGCCCCACTGTGCGGGGCACTGTAAATTGACTTGTTCCTTTATGCTACAATAATAATCCTATCGGATCCAGATTCGGCAGTTTAGAAGATATGGTCATTCTCTACGATTTTGCGTTTTTGGTTTTCTTCTATCATTAAAAGTGGGTTGTGCAGAAAATGGCGTGGCAAAATTTTGAAACAAACTTGATTTAGTCTGATATCACAGGAGTATAGATACAAAAATATCGCTGCTCTAGCTCTAATAGTCTCTGAGAACTATGCGCTCATAGGGACGGACGGACGGACAAACATGACTTAATCGACTCGGCTATTGATGCTGATAAAGAATATATATGCTTTATGGGGTCGGAAACGCTTCCTTCAGGGCGTTAAACACATCGACAGGGCGTTTTCCCCACAAATCTAATATACCTCGATTATTATGTTGAGTGTCTAAAAATCGATTAAAATGGTCGAAAAAAACAAAAAAATTTGGGTGATTCTGCGTGGTTACGCATTATATTCTCGGATGAGTAAAAATTTAATCCTATTGGATCCAATGGCTCCCGTACAGTTCGCCGTAGAACAAAAAAAATCGTACTCGTACAAGTATTAATTTCACTGGAGTTGTTCTTAGAAAGCTTTAAAACTAAAAAACAGGTTTTCATAGAAACATGGAATTCATAGTCGACGTTAATTGATTAGTATAGTATAGTAGTATTATTAACAATAGTATTTTATGTACTATGTACTGAAGGAGTAATTATATTAAAAAATGTGATTTGAAAATTACGGTTTTTATTGTTATACCCGGTATTCAAAGAGTATAGGGGTATATTAGATTTATGGTAAAAGGGGGTGTGCGTAACACCCAGAAGGAAGCATTGCCGACACCATATAGTATATACATATACCCATTTGTGATCAGTATCAATAGCCGAGTCGATATAGCCATGTCTTACTGTCTATCTGTCCGTCTTCTTAGAACCTGTAAGAGCTAAAACAACCAAATTTTTTGTGTGGGCTCCAGATATCACACTTGATCAAGTTTGTTTCAAAATTTTGCCACACCCCCTTCCGCCCTCACAAAAAATGAAAATCTGTGGTAACCACAAAAACGACAAAAACCAAAAACAGAATCATAGAAAATTACCATATCTACCAGATTGCCAATTTATTGGTTTATATCATGTCATTATTATAGCCATAATAAACTTGCAGTGGCTACGAAACGCGCTTACTCATTTCCTCTTTCTCGCTCACTCTTTCTGAAGCAGTGTGTGCTTTCTGGCAGAAGGAAGCGAGATAGCAACACACATACCGACTGAGTATCGGGTAAACATGTAGAGCCGCGGCCTTAGCCGTGTCTCATCACGTTCCCACTCGTTTTTAGATAGTTTACATCGCAAAATATTTACTGTCATACTGTTCTTATAATATTCTATTTAATTTCGATATAGGCCGAAGCACGCCTTGCCGCACGCCGCCAAGCCCGTGCTGAAGCTCGCGAGATACGTATGAGAGAGCTTGAACGCCAACAAAAAGAACAGGAACAAAATGCTGATCGTGTATTTGATATGCAAAACTCGAGTACCAGTTTCGGCAGTGACTCAATCTCAGCACATCCTGCACGTCTCATTCTTGGCGGACTATTAAATATTACTCGAGCCACGGCATCCCGACGCAGTAGTGAAGATTCTTTGGAGGATGAAGGTAGAAGCTTACGTGACTTCAAATATGAGCTTAAAGTAGGTAGCCAAATTCTGTTTTCGACTAAATACTGTGATTATGACTTTTTTTGTAGGATGTCGAAGAACGTTTTCGGAAAGCTATGATAACAAATGCACAGCTTGACAATGATCGTGCCTCACAAACGTACGAAGTAAAATTGCTTAAGGACAAATGTGAAACTATGCAAGAGGCATTCGCACAGCTGCAGCGCGAGTTTAAAGAGAAAACGCGTGACTGCAACGCTATTAAGCGAAACTTAGATCGTACCTCTCTTGAGCTTAAATTAGTTCAAGGTCAGCTTAGCGAGCGAGATTCATTGATTGCAGAACAGGGTCTTCTGATTGTTGCAATTGAAAATGCTGATGGCAGTGATGCCAAGCGAGCTCTAGTCAGTGTTGAAAATGCTAATGTGTTGGCATCCGTTCAGGGTTCTTTAGGTGATTGTCTTTTCATCATGAAAATCAAATGCCTTAAGCATTAATTCATGTACTGTGTTGTATTTCAGATGTAAGAATACAAAAATTGTGCGATGAAAAACAACAATTACTATCTGAAGTACAGAAGCTGCAAAAAATGATTAAAGAGTATAAAAGCGAAGGAATTGTAAGGCGTGGCAGTTCGTCACCGTGTCCCTTTGGTAAAGACAACGATTATGAGGCTCAAAGTATGCACGCAATTAATTAATATTCTCTAAGTTGAATTCACTGTTTTATTCCGCAGGGGAAGCAAACAAAATCATATCAGACTATAAGTATAAGTTACAAAAGGCTGAACAAGAAATGGCTAATCTACAATCGAGCTTAGCACGTTCAGAGACGCAAGTTATTCGATATAAAAGCACCGCAGAAGCCGCTGAGAAGTCGGAATCAGAATTAAAATTGGAACGCCGCAAGCTACAACGTGAGGTAAGCTATTTTCAAAGGAGCTGATAGCAATAAACAATTGCAAAATATTTGAATGATTGCGGATTTGAAAAGGGAGAGAGATTTTGAAGAGAGAAAGAGGATGAGAGGGATTTCGAAAAGAGAAAGAGGGGGAGAGAGATTTTAGAGAGAAAAAGAGGTGGAGAGACATTTCGGAGAGAGAAAGGAGGGTAGAGAGAAAGACGGGAAGAAAGAGGGAGAAATATATCAAAAATGAATTACTACAGATAATAATTAGGCGCTTCTGTAATGAATTTTGCTATTTGTATAACCGATACTAAAAATTGATATAGGGGGTATATTAGATTTGTGGTGAAACTGGATGTGTGCAACGTCCACAAGGAAGCGTTTCCGACCCTATAAAGTGCCCTCAAGGCACAATTTTGAAGGTACGAGATCTAGACTCCTGTGATATTCAATTTAGCATAAATTAAAAAAAATAATAATAGCAATATTCATCAAAGTAGATTGAGGAAAAAAATTTAATTGAGATAACTCAAATTTCCACTCTCAAAAAATGCGACACTTGAATACGACATTCACATTGAAAAATTGTTTATTTTGGATGTGGTCGCGACCGGACATTGAATAAATTCTCAAAAATCAATTAGAGTGTCCTTATTACGAGATCAAAATTTGGGTTGTGGTTAGTCCTTTTCAAAGGACGAAAACTCCACAATAAAAGCCTCGAAGGAAGTAGGTCCATCAATAATGAAAATAAATGATAAAATTGGTAAAACTAGGTGTGTTCTGAGTGATTTCATAAAGAACGGGTCAAATTATGGCAAAAACATAAAAAACCGAACCAAAATTGCTACTTCCGAGACCTCTATGAGATCTCATCTGCGAGCCGCATCTAAAAAACACGCTTAAAACTCGATTTAAAAATCTAAAACTGTACTTTAAGCTAGTGCTAAAATAATAAAACATATTTTTTCGAAGACTCCACATCATAAGGGACTGTAATTAATAAAAAAAAACCCCTCAACTTTGTTGCATATTTGATAAACTCGACTTAATGAAAAATCAACTGGTACACGCCGTTTTAGGATCTTGCTCACCGCAGAATAATAGCGCTCACACTGATGTGAAAACGATCCAATTATAATTCTTCTTTACTACTTGTTTGAGATGCCAAGCTTTTTTGGCACCTATGTGTTTCAAAAATGAAAAGAGATTTTGGGTTAAACTTTATAATTCGTATTTAATCTTGGTGGCTTAGCGGAAGCCGATTACTTGCTATTGCCAGATAAAATTTATGCGAGATCGATATGCAACCAATGCGCAGAGGGGTTAGCATAGAACCAAACTATAGACGACGGCGTTAGATCAAAGTGATTGCCGAAGTGGCGGCAGCAGATCAAAGTAGTTGCCGAAGTGGCGGCGGCAGAGAGCCCCTTTAGCGGGAGAGCGCAGCAGCTCTGCAGAACGTCAACGTTTTACAACATAGGCGGCTCTCTCTGCTCATACAATAATAATGTTAAAGTTACGGTTATTCTTCAGCGGCTGGCCCGAACACTACTCACTTCCTTTACTTCCTTGAGTCCCTATAAATATAAAAAAAAAACCCTTATGACCCTTAAAATTTAAATTTTTGTTCCTTTGAAAATGCTATATAGCGACAGTCTCTACTCCACGCCATATGAAAATGCAAAAGTACGGGAGTATTCTAAGTTTTCGTCCGTTGGCTGAGGTTTTTTATTAATTACAGTCCCTTATGGTGTGGAGTCATCGAAAAAATATGTTTTATTATTTTAGCACTAGCTTAATGTACACTTTTAGATTTTTAAATCGAGTTTTAAGCGTGTTTTTTAGATGCGGCTCGCAGATGAGATCTCATAGAGGTCTCGGAAGTAGCAATTTTGATTCGGTTTTTTATTTTTTTACCATAATTTAACCCGTTCTTTATGAAATCACTCAGAACACACCTAGTTTTACCAATTTTATCACTTATTTTCATTATTGATGGACCTACTTCCTTCGAGGCTTTTAATGTGGAGTTTTCGTCCTTTGAAAAGGACTTTAGGTTAGGTTAGGTTAAGGCGGTAGCCGGGAGGGGGGGGATAAGAGCCTCCCGCCCCCAAGCTCACTTGGACCTATAAAAGGTCCGTTGTGTTGCCGCATGGGCATGTGCCCCTTCGCGTTGCCCGAACCGTGAGAGCATACTACTGCATGTTAAGGGCAGTCCCATCCGGTGGATTGGATGTATTTGGACAAGGTCCCTGGTTTGATTTCGGACAGGTCGGAAATGTCCGTGAGGAAAGCGGCCCCGAGAATACGAAGACGACGATTTCCAAGGGCTGGGCAGTGGCAGAAGAAGTGGGGGACCGATTCCTCCTCCTCCTCGTTGCGACAACTCCTGCAGAAGTCGTTATGAGGGATTGACAGTCTAGAGGCATGAGTGCCGATCTGCCAGTGTCCCGTAATGGCTCTAGTAACTGCAGAGCACTGTGCTCTGCTGAGTTTATACAGCTCTGCTGAGCGCTTCTTCGATCGATATGGCCATATCAATCTTGACACTTTACAGGAAACCGTTTGCTGCCATCTCCTATTGGCATTTTGCTCGAACAATTCGTGCGTTAGGAGCCTGCACGTAGCCAAGGGCATCGCTACTTGCTCCCTCTCCGACAGGAGAGGAATCGTAGTACCCTGCCTGGCTAGCTCGTCGGCGGCGTCGTTCCCCTCGATGTCCCTGTGGCCGGGGACCCATACAAGGAAGAGATCTAACTGCTCTGCGATCTCGTGCAGAGGCCTGTGGCAGTCATTTACAGTCGCTGAGTTCGACGATATTGAGCCTAGAGCTTTGATAGCTGCTTGACTGTCCGAGAAGACGCACACTAAGTGCGTATCTAGAAGTAGTTTGGAGACGATCGAAATGACCTCCCTGATGGCTTCAACCTCCGCTTGGAACACACTACAGTGATCCGGGAGCCTGAAGCAATGACTGCAGTAGACTCCGCCTCCCACGCGGCCGTCTAGCTTTGAGCCATCAGTGTAGAAGTGGACCGCATTTGCAGGTCCTGGTTCGCCCATTTCCCAGTCCTCCCTAGGTGGGATCTGGAAGAGCGTCGAGAGGTGATCACTAGGAATACAGTAATCTGTCCTCTCTGGTAATTGCGGGAGTCTCATCAGGATTCCCGAGTGCCCAACCGCGGATGCTTTCCACAGTCTGGCTTCTCTCATTCTGAGGGCGGAAAGTGTTGCCACCTTCTTTCCCATGAGATCCACAGGGAGGAGGTCCAGCACAGTATCCAGGGCTTCCCCTGGAGTAGTGCGTAGCCCGCCAGTTATGCATAGCTCTGCCATGCGTTGAACTCTGCTGAGTTTATTGAGGCATGTCCTTCTGTCTAAGGCTGGCCACCATACCACCACTCCATAGAGCATGATTGGTTGTATGATGGCGGTGTATAGCCACCGAACTATATAGGGGGTCATTCCCCATTTTAGTCCGATGGCTTTCCTGCAAGTATAGAGGGCCACGGTGGCCTTCTTTACTCTATCCTCTATGCTCAATTTCCAATCGAGCTTTCTATCGAGGATTAGGCCGAGATACTTGGCATTATTGCTAAAAACTAGCGCCTCCCCACAGAGTTTTAAGGGGGTCAGTACCGGAACTTTGTACTTCCTAGTGAAAAGCACCAGTTCCGTTTTACACGGGTTGACGCCTAACCCGCATTTGTCTGCCCATTTCGACATTTTCGTGAGAGTACTTGTCATGCACTCACACAACGTCTGCGGAAATTTTCCGGAGAAAGCTATGGCAACATCGTCCGCGTACGCCACCACACGGCAGCCACCCCCCTCTATCTCCCGCAGCAGTGTGTTCACTGCCACATTCCATAGAAGGGGCGAGAGGACTCCGCCCTGTGTGCCTCTGCTGACAAATCTGGTGCACGTTGACGTCCCCAGTGATGCCTCAACCGTCCTGCATTGTAGCATCTGATCGATCAGGCTCACCGTCCTGGAGTCAACGCCCAGATCCGTCAGTGCGCCCGCGATGGCGGTCGGAAGGATGTTGTTAAAGGCGCCTTCTATGTCGAGGAAGGCTACTAGGGTGTACTCCTTAAAGTTAAGGGGCGCTTCGATGATCGATGTGATCGAGTGTAGGGCCGTTTCGGTGGATCTTCCCTTCCGATAGGCATGCTGGGAGTCTGAGATCAGACTGGGCGGAATGCACGCCGTGAGATGCAGCCCCAGGAGCCGTTCCATCGCCTTTAGAAGAAAAGACGATAAACTTATGGGTCTGAAATCTTTTGGGGCAGTGTGCGAGGGCTTGCCTGCCTTGGGTATGAATACGACTTTGGTCTGAAGCCAGGTGTCAGGCTTAGCAGTCTCAGGATGGCATTTGATTCGACAGAAGGAGGCGCGAGGTAGTTGGGTCTGTTTTCATCGCAGCCAGGGAAGTGGGTATTTAGGAGAAGATTTAGCGACTCATCGCTGGACGTAGTCCACGACAGGTCGGTGTTCTTCAAGTAGCCCAGGGTGGGTGTTGTCTTCGAGAGAACTCTGCGCAAGCGTGAGGCTTCTGAGTTACTCTCGATTTCGCTGCAGATCTTACGCCAGGAGGCGCGTTTGGCTTTTCTAAGTTCTTTGTTGTAGGTTGACAGACTGGCCTTGTATTCGGCCCAGTTTTGCTCAACGTTTTCAGCCTTAGCTTTATTTAAGAGTCTCCAGGAGGCTTTCCGGAGTTCACCCAGTTTTGGATTTCACCATTCAGGTTTCTTCCGGCCTCTGTTCTTGCCAGAGGGGCATGCTTTGTCGAGCGCCTTATTGCAGGCGTCGGTAAAGATCTTAAGAAGACGAGTCGTGGCCTCCGTGGAGAACTCCTCCTCAGATGGGGGCTCAGGGAGAACACGACAGAGGTAATCAGAGTACCGAGTCCAGTTTGTCCGCCTGATGTTCCGGAAACGGACTGGCTTCGGTACTGCGAAGGAGAAGACAGTTTCCACGTACTTGTGGTCCGAGAAGGAGTGCTCTTCCAG